AAAACAAAGAATCAATGACAATTTCTATCTAAATCCCCAACACATCAAAGTACAAATTTCATGAGGACATCTACAAAACAATAACAACGATGTTAAAACTAAAGTAGTTCAAAACATAATTTTTCTAGATAATTATCAAGGAATTTACTCGGAAGTCAAATGCTTAACATTTTTTTTTTTTTTTTACAAAATGTGAAACATTCTGTAATTATTATTTTTTCCTCTCTCAATAGGAGTACACAGGTTTGCCTATCATCCAGTGCACACTTCTCTCTGGTCTAGTGAACAGGAGTAGAGGGTTATCCCTTGTTCCCTGTTTAGGATTGGGTTTCTGGTGCCTTCTAAAGTTTACTTCAACTCCATACTTCTAATATTTCTGCCTGAATACTGAAATTTTATTCACTAATTAAATCTTAACCTCTTCAAATGTAGAATTAACTATCTTTCTGCATAGCCCCAAGAATTTCACTTTCTTTTTTTACATTAATACAACTTCACACAGTAACCCTCTTCATGAAGTGGCTCTCAGACCTTATATTGGGTGAACATGAATAATATATATATATATATATATATATATATATATATATATATATTTTTTATTATTTTTTCCATCAATAGGAGTAGATATGTTTGCCTATCATCCTGTTCATAATCCTCCCCAGTCTTTTGAACAGGAGTAGAGGTTTATCCCTTGTTTCATGTTTAGGTTTGGATTTCCAGTTCCTTCTAAAGTCTACATCAACTCTATACATTAATAATAAATAAAAATTGAAGAGGAAAAGCTTTTTAATGGCAACAGGCTTCACCTTCAAAAATGACTGAGTTCATTGCCATCTTTGTGCTGCAGAATTGTGGTCTTTTGGTAAACTCAACTGTCTTGTGACTATCTATAATTAGTAGCAAGTGTGGATGCCTACCTAATAAATGAAGGCGAAACACATTGTCACTAAAAAGCTCTTCTACTTTGTCTCATTTCTCCACTTTGTTCAGATTCAGTATCCTAGTAACACACATGCTCCTAATTATAGATTAATTACCAGTTTAATTTACCAAAAGACCAGACTTCTGGTTGCCAATGAACTCACAATTTGTGACATAATCTTGTATCTCCTTGCTCTACTGTAGATTGAGCATCCAACGATAAACAGTTGTAAAACTGAGGGTCTCTTTTATGCATGCTAGCAAATGTGCATGCCAACTGGCAAATATATGCATACAGAAGCTTAATTTCAGTAAAGGGTCAACAACAACATTGAGTATCTCATGAAAATCCAATTCAACACTAACAATGGTCTGCTAAACGCGTTTGCTAACAAGCAGCCAAATGCTGATGATTATATAGTGTCACTTATAATCATTTAATAAGATTAAGACAGTGAATTATACAAGGCACAAAGTATTCATGCCTAGACATAATAGAAGTTTTTTTTTTTTTTATAAATTTTTCCAACAATTTTTCATGAACATACATTTTAATGAGACATACACAAAGATCATCTACTCTCTCCAAGCAGCAAGGTCAATCATTCATTTCAGGAAGCAAGCTCAAACCACTCTACCCAAGCTGTACTTCCAACACCTGAATTTAATTTTTACAATAACAATTTCAAGAATTCATCAAATACATGACTTCAGATTTGGTGCTAGAAACTTCCATTTTGCATTTATTTTTGATACTGCAACATCTTTAGTACAGTGGGTCAAATAAATTAACTTCAAGATACCAGAATGTTAATGAAACTTTGAATTAATCAAAAAAAAAAAAAAAAAAAAAAAAAAAAAAAAAATAGTATTTAAAACAAACTGAATATTAAATGATTAATAAAGTTAAAAAAAAAAACAAATTGTAAAGAAAAACAAACAAAAGAAAAAACACATTCATACGCTTATAATCATTTTTCATGTTTTTCTGATATTCACAAACATTTTGTAGCTGGGTATAAACAAACAATTCTTCATTGTTTTGGCTTCAATAATATTACAGATAAAAGTTCTATACAGCTTTCACATTATCTGATGACTTCAATGTTGTCCTTATCAATAAATTCAATTCTAATACGAAAACATTTGTACAACATTAGGTCTCAGCAAATGTCATAAAAGGTTGTGGAAATCTAGGTCATGATCCAATTCTGACAAGATATAGTTCTAACCAAGATAACAGATTTTCTATTTCAAAACTATTCTTAATCAGATGATAAACTGAAGTACAACCAAATTCATTCAAACATTTCTTAAAAATTATGTAACTTCAAAAGGTCTATGTCTATATTTCTGAGATGAGGTATTGTAACTATTTACACTATTTACATTGTTTGGACTGTTGTCCTCATATTCACAGCATTCTGGCTGTTGTTTACTCCGGCCTTCTTCAGATGCTATATGGCCCAGTGGATAAAAACATTGGTTGAAGTAATCTAGTGACTTGATCCAAAAGACTTGTGAGTTCAAAACCTGGCCACAGCAGAGGTGAACAAAAACTTGAAGAAGTTGACTTACTAAAAGGGGAAACAATCTACCCCAGTGGACATAATAAAAGTGTTCGGTTTGGAATTCCAATCATCTGAAGAAGTCTGGAGTATACAACGGCAGAAACATGATGAGGACAACAGTTCGAACAATGTAAATAGTTTAAAAGGTCTGCAATGCATTTCAACATTTGAATCCTTTACATAGTAACAGCAGGTGGCCAGAGATAAATCAGATATTTATATACTCAGCAAAGCATTCTCTAAATGCCTAGCTATATTCAAGGCTTATAAAAGTGTTTCATACAATGAAAATAGCAGTATAAGATGAGCAACTACACTAATAAGAATTATTTGACAATAATTGCAAAGCTGTTTAAACTCAGACTATTGTCCTCATCTTTATTGTTGCTATCATGTTTCGGCCGTTATGCTCCTCAGCCTTCATCAGTTGTATATCAATCTGTGTAACCCACAGGAAATTCTGAATTGTTTGAATAGTGGTCCAAATGTAAATAATTTAAATAAAGCCAATCGTTATAAGAAATAATGAACAACCAATATTAAGAAATTTCAAATAAAATAAGATCCATGTAAGAACTCTTAAAAATCCAAGACAGTGTCCTATTTAATCAATTAATTTGAAAAAGATTTGAATCAGAAATTTTGTTAGTATCCCTCATTAAAATACTTTTTTTGTAATAATGACAAGAAACATCAGTTTGGCAAATAGAAAATACCTTGAAGCTATGATGCAAGCAATAAAAAAAACTTTATAATTTATACAGAGGATATATTGGTGAGATTCTAAAAAACAAAACAAAAAAAAAACAAAGGATTAAACTAAACACATTCTCCGCCATTATTACGTCTCCATCTTTAAATATTAAAATGCACGACGCGACCTCATTTTTATTTCTGCCGTTATAGACATCCAACTCATCTGAGAATACTAAAAGCTAAACTACTGGCAATATAAATGTCCGATTATTTGGATTAAACTTCTTTCTTTTAAAACATATAACCAAGAAAATGGTCCGTAAATGTATGATCGCCCACGTCCTGAAGGGACACAGCACAGAGGAGACGTCAAGTAAAGCGAATACTTTCTTCCACTGTTGTCAAGGAGTCGACAAAGCTAAGGAGGAAAAAAAAACGCATACTGAAGATTACAATGAAAATAGTTTATAATAAATAAAATAATCAAAACGACACTGGTATCATTTAGCTTCTTATTAATAGAAAAGAAGCTAGAAAAGAAAAAAAAAGCCACGTTGCTTCCAATCCAAGAACGCATTTCTAAACGGAGGTTAACAGGAAGATTACGTCATAATATGGCGCCACTTCACAATAAAAAAAAAAAAATAGACATTTTTAATAGTTCTACAGACCAAACACAAAGAAGACTATGTACAAATGTTTAGAATTACAGAAGCATCTATTTAAGGCAATTTTCAACTAGGGTAAATGTATTTCGTAAGAGAAAATATGAAGAGATAACGCCCAAGAAATGTGACGATTAGATCACGAATAAGAAGATGAAGTTAATTTCTATGCAGAGAATAACAATGGCGCGACTCGAAATACGCAGTTTGATAGACAACAATGACAAAAGAAAGAAAACCTGTGGGGGTTAATAATTAGCTTGGCATTTTGTCTACTTAGAATATATATATATATATATATATATATATATAAATTGTATTTCTTCCTATCGCTCCTCCTCTTTTTCCATCATGCGAATCGGCAAATTGCACAGTCAACGGATGACGTCATCAAGTACAGAGCAATCATGGCCGCCAAGGCTAAAAACTCCACAAAGACATCGTCACTCAACAAAATCGGGCTTTTTTAAAAATATCTTTTCAAAAAGACCAATCTCATTTTATATATTAGTTCAATTCCTTAAAGTCTTTTTATATGAAATGTCCGTCTACGAAGCTAAGTTTCAAGTTTGGCAATGTTTTGAAGAAAGGCCAATGAGCGGATGCAAGTAAACTTTCAAGTCCAAGAAATTGTATTGTAGAATACAAAGATGAAACACTACTGGTACTGAAATCTTTATCTAGTTAATTTTTTCTTAAAGCTTAATACCAACAAATTAGGTAAGAAGGACCTAATTTCAAAATTAATAAATGTCTTTAAATCCACAATAACCAGCTATTGAACAGCAACTTTCTATAAAGAGTAATAATGTCTATGACAATATTGGAATATGTCGTTTAAGGTTTATAAAATACTTAAAATCATGTCTAAGAGAAAATACTAAACAAGAAAGGAAGAAATATCTAACACAAGTTACAACTTTGAAGAAAGTTATTATTCGCCAATTCAATGAAGATGTTTGTTTAAGGTTTACAAATCATCAAGTATCTTTTGCTCATTTCATAATTTATATTCATTTATAAAAATATATATATATAAATTCACATAGATACATACTTTCATACGCACACACACAAAACTCGGTCTCTTCTCTAACACCCGACACGGTGATGATGTCGAACTGATCATGTGGGAAATACTTACGAATTTGTATGTAGATATTCAAAACTCAATTGGGCCCGGCTGAGGTTGCTGTATGCCATGATGTTGGGCTAATCAATTCTTTTCAACCAAAAGAGAGAAAAAAAAAAGGAAATTTGAACCAAAAATACCTTTTTTCTTTTTTTTATCTTTTACAAAGAAAATACGAAGAAGAGAAGCAGAGGGAAAAAAATTCAAGAAATAATTTAAAAATTAACGAACCGCGAATATTGAATTAAGTCGCTTTTTTTCTTTTTTGCTAAAGACAAAGAAACTTTTTCTTTTTTTTTTGATTAAAAGTACTTTTATGTTTCTGTGGTTTGTGATTTCTCTTTCTATTATCTAGTCCTCGAAAATAAAATAAAACCAAACACTAAGTTTGAGTTATAAACTTTGAAGACAAAGAATAAAAAAAAAAAAAGTTTTACATTCTTTGAGAAACAAAAAAGAAAACACACAAACAAATAACGTTGTGTCCCCAAAAAAATCTGCTTTCTTCTACAGTCGTTGCCTGTATTATTTGTCAATATTAAATGGCATTGACTGGCTTTTCGTTTGTTTTTCAATCGTAAACGTACCGCCGGTCATATTATATATTTTATAATAATAATAATAATAAGGGAGCTGAAAAAATTTCTTTTTGTGTTTGACAGAGGAAAAAATGTCTTATATCCGTTTGCTTTTTTTCTTCTTGATGAATATGACAAACAAAAATGAATGATTTTTTTTTCTTTTTCAGAACTGAGCTAGCCAGAAGAAACTGTCTGTCGTTCATCCACTTTCAGACCAATAATAACGTTAAGAAGTAAAGAATGGAGGGAAAAATAAAGGCTGCCTGTCTGGACTGAAACAGGTTCAAGCGACATAACAGAGTTTGTTTTAACAGAGGAGGAAGTGGGGGGAAAAAGCAAAGTAGGAAGGGGAGAAGAGAAGGAGAAAAATAAAATGAAAGAGAGAGGGGGAGGAATGAAGAGTGAGAGGTAAGAAAGAAAATGTGTGATACACTAATTCATTCTTTCACCAAAACAGTGGGTCATAAAAGCGACCTCAGGCACTGATACTCACCAGTTGGAATCCGATAAATAATTTAAAAAAAATTAAATTCTCTTAGACTAATGATAATTAATACAATAGAAAAAAGTATTTGGGTTGGATAATGAAACGTTTCCTGAAAATCAGTTTGATAGCATTCAATTTCCATATGAATAGAAAGCTAGTTTTTAAGTTTGAAAATAATTACATACGACCATACATACTCTCTAATTGCTTTTTTTTTCTCAAATGATTTTTCATTTTTTTTTTTTACTCAGAAACGATATCCAGTCATATAAGTGATACATTTATTCTCTAAGCGAACATCAAAAACTTAAAAGATATTTAATTTCAGTAAAAACATTAAAACAGAAGAAAGAGCACTGAACACAAAAGAAAATGAAAAACCGATTTCAATTCGTTAAAAAAAAATAAAAAAAATAGATTAATGAAGGCTTTATTATAAAGCAATTTTTTCTTTGTTTAGAGAAAGAAATTTATTGTGAATAAAAAATAATTCCTCAGACTTTTCTCGCTTTAAATTCGTTAATACAAAAAACAAAACACGGGATAAACTTTGTTTTTGTTTTGTTTTTTTTTATTTAAGCTTTTTTTGTCCTAAAGACTCAATTTTTAGCACAGGAACATTTCAAAAATGAATGTTCTGGTTGTCGAACACAAGCAATAACAATGTTGCTTTTTTTCTTTCTTCTTTTTTTTTGTAAAGAAAAATATCTTCAAGGCTAAAAATGATTTGAATAAATCCTCATATATTTTTCAGCAACACACCTCGTGCGAGATGAAATTAAGTAAGTAGTTGTTGTCGAGAGAAACGATATTTTCTTTTTTGTTTAACAACCGGACACGTGCGCCCCCCTCCGCAGCCTCATTCCGAACAGCAACGTTTTTTTTGTTTTTAAATGCCTTGGCCTCTATATCGCCATGATGAGGAAACTCATGATCTTCTTAAGAGAGAAATAAACGAAAAAAATAGAACAAGGACAAAATAATTCACACTTGCGCCAATGAATGATAAACCAACAATAATACAAGCGCAGAAAATATCTCCGACATCGTCGAAACTGGCAGATAATATTCACGACCTAGTTCGATAACTGGGTTGTGTTCGGTAATCGGCAGCTTCTTGCTACTTGCCAAAATAATATGGCGACTTGTAGTGGGATCCTCATATGAAAATGATATCCATGAGCGACAGTAGTAGTAGTGAAGAGGGGGACAGCCTGGAACTCCAACGCCTTAAAGATGCTGCAGTCACCTTAGAACCAGACGGTGACTTGCATGCAAGTAAGTGATTTCATATTAATTACCAAAATCAATATTTCACTTGTGTCTAAGAACTATAAGATGGAACTTCCTTGACATACAGACATTTTTTTTTACACATACGGAAGAAAAAATCGGTTTATATTAAAAAAAATACCAAACTTTTCTTCATTTTTTTAAAAAATTCTGGTTATTAAATTATAGCTATTATTATAAAATACTATTAATTTGTGAAGGTCTTCACTTATCGATATTTTGAAAATTGTGTATATTTCTCCTCGACATAATTTACAAACGCACACAGCCACTTTTCCAACAACTATTACCATTACCTCCTCCTCCGTAGGCCGCGTGGTGCCTCCTACTTCGTCTTTCACTTACATGACGTCACATACACTGCTTACCATATATGGTAATAGCACTGCGCAATGGCATTATGCTAATGAGTATTTCACCACACATTTGATTGTATTCCTTAGGTCCAGCTGTATAGACGTGGCCCTAGAATTCGTTAACATTGTCGACCACACATTACTACCAATATGTATATACATATAGGTATGGTATAAAAATACACACGCCGTTATACATTATATGTATGTGTGTTTATGTGTACAGTCACCTCTAACCACGGAAACATCTTCCTACCGAATGAAAATGCATCGAGCAAGGAGACCTGACAAAATTCGCTTTGGCAATATTATTGTAGTGATGTGTTATGAATTTATAATTAGAGAGAAGTTAACGAAGACACCCCCCGATGGTTTTTAATCTTTTTTTTTTTTTCTTGTTTCCTTCGAGAAACATAAAAATAGGATCCAGCCCTGTTAATAATGGAGATTGTTTTTAAATCTGGTAAACCCACATTTTTTTTTTACTAATAAGGACGGCGATCTTCTATTTTTATTTCTTAATTCAATTATTCTGTTTTTATTTGTTTATATACGTTTATTTTTAGTGATAAATCACTGCAACACGTCAGACAAGGACCTGGAGGAGTGAAAAAAAAAACGTACACTAAAAACAACAAAGGATGGATTTATTTTAATTTCTTTCTTTCTTTTTTAATTTTATTTTTCTTTGTCTTTTTCTTTTTAATGTTAAAAGTTTAAAAAATGTCATCGCATGTTGACGCACTTTTTAACAACAATCAGAAAAATCACATCACACAAAAAAATGAGGGAAGATTCAAATTTGAAACTTAGGATATTTTGGGTTTTAATTTAAGTTTTGCAATTTCAATAATTGCAATTATGGATTTTAAATTTATTTGTAACTTATTTCCAATTTTTCATACATCTAAGCTGTTTTTATTTGCAAAATGTTTTTGTAGTTTTCTCTGCTAAAAACTAAATACTTTTAAAGAAAAATTTAAATCTTTTAATTTTGAAGTGTGTTGTGTACTTAGTTAAATATCCAAATATAATTCCTTAGTCTTAAATGTAATTTTCTAAAATCTTTAAATGCTATGGTCAGTACTACATCATTACTTATGTTTTTCTTTTTTTTTTTTTTTTTTAAGAAAAAAAAAAGAAAAGCCTTCCTGATTCGTTCAAACTTTTGTTCATCTTAGATTTCATTTTTCCTTAATGTTTGATTTAACGTAATTTTTGCGAATTTTTTCTTGGCTTCATCTGCCTGGGTTTTCATTCCTTTTCTTCCGACCTCCCAGTGCTCTGTCTCTTCTAGCTGGTGATCATATATAGCGAGTTTTCCATAAAGTAGAAAACTACTAGAGAGAAGAAAAAGCGACTTTCTCTAACTACGACACTATCGTCATGGCTGATCATCAACAACCCTTTTCAAAAGGGCTGCTGCTTCTTCTTGACTACACTGGGGTTTTAGGCATAACATTTCTGAATGTGACTTTTTCTCTGCAAATTTGGCTTTTTTGACGAAATAAATTTCTAACTGCCTTGAATTACAGCTTTATCTTTTTAGATTTTGATTTTAATAAATATCACTACTTTTTACCCCCGCCCAACAAAGAAAGATCTTTAGAAAAATACTTCTCAAAAACCCCAAAAAGGTAAGTTTTTTTTTTTTTTGTTTGTTTCGTTTTTTTTTTTTTTTTTTTTTTTTAGCGGGCTTTTTACCCACTTTGTTTCTTTTTGTTTTGTATTTTTTCCTCTACTCTTTAACCAGCCAAGTATATTATATCTGATCTCAGTTTAACATTCCTTTTTTTTATCTCGAAATTTATTAGTGCAGGTTTCTTTATTTATAGAATCCTAAATTTGCTTGTATTTCTGAATTTGTTTTTATTCTTTCTTTTTTGATTCCAAAGATCATTAATAGTCAAGTCTCATTTCTTCCCAATTTAAGTCTTTTCCTCATTTTCATACCACATTGTCATTTTTAAATCTTACCTTATTTTCCAAATGCAATGGCCCTTTTTTTCTTTTCTTTTTTTAACTATTGCTGTTGCTGATTCTCCTGTAAGCAGGGTTTATGCTCTGTTTTTGACCTGGAGACAAAAGAACATCAAATTTGTTAGCACTTTTAGTGTCATTAACTTTTGAGAGGAGTAGGGAAGGTAAAAAAAAAAGCAAAAAAAAAAAAAAAAATCAAAGTCGTTGAGTGATTGTATGGTTTGAATCAAACAGAAAGAAGCAAGAGGCCATTGTTGCACGTCTGGTATTAGCAAGTAGAAGAAGAAAAAGATGGCGACGTCTGGAGTTTTAGTTGTTGGTGCTGGCTGACTGTCCGTCCGCCTCTGACATTCAACCATCCGCTCCTTTCTTTC